GCTTGCATTGCCACTACAGCTGAGCAGCACTTGCCCATATTTCGACTGCTGCTAACCCTACACCGTACACTGGCCCAAACGCCCACGGTGATCCGTGAGCCTGCCAGGCTTTGGATGTAGGGGTTTAGGATTTAGAGTCAGGTGGTGTCTTTCAGTTTAGATCGCAGATCATGAGTTCAGAACCAAGGGTACGTAGGGTCAGTGGCATCGATGCCGACTTGTGCGTTACCATCGTTAGCATGATCTCGGTCCTCGTCATCGTTTCTACACCTTGAACAGTGCTATCTCCATCAGCATCTAAATAAGTCCTGCTCCCTAACCCTAAGGGTCCATGTATCCATATAGAGATACATGGGCCCCAATGTACCTATATGGGGACTACATTAAGGTCAATGTTATACTATATGAGTACATGGACCCTTAGGGTAAGCTGGAAACCTTAAACCCTTATCCCGTAGACCCAACAGCAGAAGTCCTAAAACCCCACAGCGGTATGAACGAGAGCGGAGCCCCAGGGTGCAAGCCTGGAGAGGCGCGACCGTCGAGAGCAAGAACCTGTCCGGGACAAGTTTAGTCAATCTAGGGGTCATATTAGTTACTTAGAATAGGCTTTTCGAGTCCATTCTAGGGGTCATATTAGTTACTTAGAATAGGCTTTTCGGGTCCATTCGATTCTGGTCGACTTGGAAAAGGATCTCCAAATCACGGTAGTAGTAACTTGTTGCTTTATAGGTTTCAGGGTGCTGTAGAGCTCTGCATTGCAATCAAACCGCCAAGAACAACAGGGCGGGAAATCTCAAGCCAAAACTACTCCAGAGGATGAGGGTCTGTCGCCAGCTTGGGTGTCATGGGGGGAGCCGTTATATGTTGTATATTCTATGTTACTGTATAATGCATAGATTCTATCATACATACATAAACACACATAAACATCCGCATGTATATATATATATATATATATACATACACATTATATGACGAATCACCCATCTTCTCATCGGTGCTATGTATACGGATCCTATCAACTCGGCAATTCAGAGCCAAGGGGTTTCAAGCGTTGTCGGGTTTCGGGTTTACCCTAAGGGTCCAAGTACCCAATTACCATATACTCGCAAAAATAGTAACCTACATAACTACTATCCCAAACCCGAGTACCTAATTTTTGGGTCCATTGAACCCTAGGCCCTAAGCCCTAAACCCTAAACTCTAAGGAATCGATGCACGCCTTTCTTTGGCCCTAACAAAATCACGGAGCCGAAAGAGGGCAACCCGGCAAACCCTACGGCCACCATCAGGGTTTAGAGTTTGGGTTTAGGTTTAGGGGTTTAGGGTTTCGAGTTTAGGGTTTAGGGGCTTAGGGTGTAGGGTTTAGGGGTTAGGGTTTAGGGTCGGGACCAAAACGCTTGTGCACATGCTGCAAAGTCCGAAAACCAAAAGGCTAATGCGCTACATCCGAAACCCCAAACGGTGTTGGGGAATGTTATTCTATTATAATTATGATTGTTAAACCCCAAAATCCTGAACCCTAAGCCCTAAACCCTAAATCCTGAACCTCCTACTATAGATCCCTTTCAGGATCCCTTGAAGGAGTCCTTGAAACATTGATGGGAGGCCAAAAGGGGGGTTTAAGATCCTTGGGGTAGGGATTCCTTAATATGAACCCTATTATGGGAACCCTAATCCCTACTAAACCCCCATAGGCTAAAACCCCTTTTGGCCTCCTATGAGCAGACGCCTTAAAGGAATCCTTATAAAGGAACCCCTTATAGAAACCCCTATAGATCCCCTAAAGGAACCCTTAAAGGAACCCCCGCTTAAGTGGAACCGAGGCCTGGGATTCTCCATCCCCACGCAGGGCACTTGCTGCGGATCCTGGGGCCGCTTTCGAGTTTCGGCCGGGCCGGCGGGGGGGTGTAGGGGGGGGCCTTTAGGGGCTCCTTTAAGGGATCCCTTCAGGGATGCTTTGAGGGATCCTTTCAAGCTTATTTTTTATTTTTAAAGCCCTCTTTTCCTCCTGCCCGGTTGGTTAGTTGCAATGCCGATTCGGCGGAGGGGTATGGTCGGGCCTGCCGAGGGATTCACCACCACACCACTACTTCAAACAGGCATTGCAAGTACATAACACAATCTTTCAATACAATACATTCCCTACCCTGGCGAAAGCTGCCCACGACACCAGAGTCAGTCAAGCCCCACACTTCAGTAGGTTGCCCACAAATCAACAGTAATCACAACCTGTCAAAATTATAATACCCCAGGATCTTCCCTTGCAACCCGCATGACGCTGTGCATCGGCTTTCCATCGTGTCCTGGACAGCCTGAGAGCACCCACAATAGGACAAAGGCGTCAGGCGCCATGCCCGTGGCCTTGCCGAATACAGAAGGCAACTTCTGGATGTCAAAGGGGCTGAACTCCAAGTCCAGCCCCAGGAGGAATGACTCAACCTTATCCAGCACCTTGGCCGCCAAGTCAGCATTGATAGGGACACATAGTTCCATCCGCCCCGTGCAGGTCACATACGTTCTGATCTTGTCAGCCATTGTCGTGACCCCGGTACTTCCCAACTGGGAAGTCAACTGCTTGACGGTTGCTGGAGTTTTTGTGTCGTGGTAAGTGCCCAACTGTCTCACACTTGGTTTACGGGGCTTGGGGTTTACGGGTTTGCGGTTTAGGGTTTCGGGCGTGGCCCGGCTGTCTCAGTTTAAAAGAACTTCTCCCAAGCTAGGGTTTATAGGTTTCAGGGCTTCAGGGTTCAGGGGTTTAGGGGTTCGGGGTTTCATTAGGGGTTTGGGGGTTGGGGTCTAGAATAAGTCCTAGGTTTCGATGCAAGAACCGAAACAGCATCGACAATGAATATGTTCAACAAAAGCCTAGTTTTGTTCCGATGACTATTTCCCTATTTTGCCACGATGCTTCCCTTACATCGGGGAACATAGGATAAACATGAGATTGACGTACCCTAAGGGTCCATGGACTCATGTAGTATATACATTGGCCTTAAAGTACTCACTATATAGGCACATGGGCCCAAAGTATATACTATTTGGGTACACGGACCCTTAGGGGTAGGATGTCGGTGCAAAACCCTCCATCTCGATGGAAAAACAGAGAAAACTTCGAACGTTGTTCATTTTAGGCACAAATATGGGGGTTTCCGAAAATACGGGATCCTAATATAGTACCCTAACATTTTTCGAAACTCCCAATGTTGTCAGATCTTACTCGTATGTTCCCTATTCTTCCTTGACATAGGCCTCGATGTACAAATCGGAAAAGCACCAGCCATTGTTCAATTTCCACAACCCGATAATTGTACCCTTTGTTCCCTAAGCTCGACTCTTCCAGATTCCTAGATTCCCCTACATATAGATAACTATTTCCAACCATCCTTTCTCAGGCCTCTCGCCAACCCTTGGAACACATACAGCACTAATTGCCCAGAAACTCCAAATCCCTTTGTTGCAGGTCACAGGAGGCCGTATTTAACACAACGGCCATTAAGCGAACACAAACAAAATTATCACCACCCAAGTGACAATACTGGCCATCCTACTACCATGCCCCCCAAATTCTAAACCATTAAACCTCAACTCTACAATCTTAACCGTTGCTACACCTTCAACCCAACCTGAATGAACCCTAACCCTAAACCCTAAACCCTAAACCCTAAACCCTAAACCCTAAACCCTAAACCCTAAACCCTAAACCCTAAACCCTAAACCCTAAACCCTAAACCCTACTTGGAAGACCATAAGACTTAGTAAGTAAGCGTGTTCTTGACTTAGCTAAGTGGGGGGGGGGGGGGGTTAGGCATCTATAAATTTATGAATGTAACCTAATACAGCTATCTCCTGTAAAAGCCCAGGTACTCAGTCCCATGACCCTTTAAACAATATAGGGCCTTAACCCTCATAACTTAACCCTCATAAAACCCGACTCTACTTACTAAGTCTCCACCCGCTCGAATCGATCAAACCCTCCAATCCGTTTACCCCCAAACCTTACACCGTTGCAGAAACCCCTATGGAAACCTACTAGATCCCTTGTAGAATCCAAAGCCGCGGTTAGACAAATCCCTAATAATACCGCGTATCAACCCCAGACACCAACGACTGTCTGCATGGTGCATGTATGTATCTCTACAAAACCACCCAAATTTTGGTAGTTGGAGGGTCGGGGACTTAGTAACTTTTTTTAGGGACTTATAAGTACCATAACCCGAATTAGGGTCCCGTTTAGGGTACGTATAAGTCTACTTACTACCTACTTGCTAAGTCCCCCAACCCTCCAAGTAAACCCTATGGAACCCCCAATCTGACTCCCAAGTGGTGGGTCCTGTCGCATGGTACCCGGGACGTGGCGCGTGGGCCCGTTAAAGGCGGTCAGGTCACAAACCGTGAAGTTCACCTGGGTGGTTGTCAAAATTATGATAGAATAGGGCTCCTTTAAAGGGGTCTCTAAGGGCTACTTAAAGGGCCGGTGTGGTTAGTAAATGAATAACAGACTTGATATAGTTACCTATCTCTTGTATGTTAAGTTATAAATAAAGTAAGTCTGGTTATAAGTTCAGCAACTATGCTATGTGGAGAGGTATAACTTACTAAGTGTTGAGGACAAGATAGTAAGTAGTGTAAGTGAATAAGAGACTTATATATGTTATAGGTGTGAGTTAATAAGTGACTTACAGTAACTCAGGTAAGTAACTTAGGTGACTTAGGTATTCGTTTGTAAGTCAGATAATAAGTTGAATAAGTTGACATGGTCTCTGGCCAGGAGATGATGGGAAGGATGTTTTTCTGCACGTCCAATGAAGTTGGAAGATTTCTTTGCATGAAGTTGGAAGCTTTCTTTGCATGTGAGAAAAATGATGCAAACCTTTCTTGCTGTGCTCAGAGCATGCATGCATATGAGAAAATGATGTAAACCTTTCTTGCTGTGCTCAGAGCAATGCATGCAGTAAGACGCTTTGCAGGGCCACCGGCTCGCAAGCAGTGTATGCATGCTGTTGCTCAAGCTGAGTTTTGAGTTTGCGGGATCCAGCCTTGCTTCGGTGATCTTCGGTGTCATCGACATGTCCCTTTCGCACGAAGTGAAGGTGCAGCTGCAGTCCTTTCTGGAGGAAGCTGCCGACGGAGAGAAAATGGTTAAAGTGGTTGAAGCCACCTTGGACTTGCTCAGGAAGAACCACCTGCTGTCGACCATGAAGCTGGAGCCCAAGCTGGTGGGGGTTCACCCCAGTAACCGAGACGGTTACGGGGTGAACCCCCAGGACGTGCTGGACCTTGTGGACAGCATCATCGATGTGGGGTTCGTGAAAGGCCGAGTGCATGCCGTAGGCGTGGAAGTTGAAAGCCAGCACGTGAGGGACTGGAACTCCAATCTCTTCGCTTCGGCCAACGGGGGCCTCGGCTCCATGGAGCCGGATCTCCTCAAGGTGACCAGCATCTGCGGCTCTCACACCAACTCGGCCTTGCGACTTTTTCGCGATGCCGTGCCACACTCCAACGAGCTCGTGTGCACCGGGGGGCGATTGAGCATGGAGATGCTGAAAAATCGCGATCCTGCTTTCCACGAAGCCGCGACCGAAGGCTTGTCGTGGGATGTAATCTCTGCAGCCGTCGCCCGCGAGGTGCCCGAAATCCTCGAGCTGGTCTCCAGGTCGGGCAACACCTCCCTGCAGAGGGGGGAGCATGAACTCCAAGTCCTTCGCCGAATTCATGGCCTCTACTGTAAGATGCAGGCTTCGGGCCAGACCCCCTCGTTTGCTTCTCTGAAGAAGCAGATCTTGGCTTCGAAACCGAAGTGCGGGGTATCCGTCCCTCACATGTACTCCTACTGCCTCAAGTGCAGCGGGGGCCAAGAGGCCGTACATCTCAAAGAAACGGAGCTCTTTGTGCGAGCATGCTGCCCTTCCTCAAGACAGCTGGGGCCGGATCTGTGGCAGGCTTTGTCCATGGAGATCAAGGGGCATGGCTCCGAGGCCGTTGCTTGTTTTCGCAACGGCCTCGTCAAGTCGGCATACGTGCGGCAAAACGTCTCTGTGGGGGACTGCCGGAAGCTCGCTGCGAACTTCACGAAGGTGAAAGAAGCAGACGAGATCATGTTGGCTGTGCGGGCCATGCTAACAGAGCAACTCGGGGAGTGGAAGGATGCCGGCCTGGTGAAGGCCCTTGCAACCATGGACATGTGCATGTGCAGCATGGTCCTTGGCTTGAAGCAGAAGGGCGAGAAGGACTACAGGACCTTGCAGGCCGTGGCCCATGATTTCTGCCTTGTGGCCCAGGAGCTCACTGGGAGGAGCCTTCCCTTGAAATGGCAAGGCTTCGCCGAGGCAACAGCAGCACCTGCAGCGGCAAAGGCATCGTCGTCGAGTGCACCGGTGCTGCTTGAGTTGGATGAGCATGGTGCAATCAAGAATCCGGTGGGTTTGCTGGAATCCCGAGGCTATGCATTGGGCAGCAATGTGAGGAGGCGAGCTGACAAGACCACTGGCAAGATCCAAGATGTGAAAGGCGGCCTTGTGTACATCCAGTTGGACTCCGGCGACGTCGCGAAGGAACCCATTGACAAGATTCTGGGCAACGAGTGGGCCGTCTTCACCCCCAAAAGTGAGGCAGAGGTACTGGAAGATTTGAGCATCTACAGCCCTTCAACGAATGTTGAGCTCCAGGCCTTCATGCTCCAGGCAGAGATCGCGAGGCAGCTTCAGAAACTTTTTGATGAACAGTCCTCTGGCATCGACAAGCTTGCCTTGCAAACGAAGCCCCAGAAGCAGCTTCAGGCCTCGCAGGACATCCCCAAGGGAAAGGTGACATTGGTGCCATTGACGAGCAAGATCCTCCACAAGGGCTCCAGCCAAGCGAGCTGGTTCGAGGTGACGACGGACTGGACGATGGATGCGAGGAAGTTCTACCTGAGCTCCTCTTGTGTGCTGCCCAAGGAAGATGATGACAAGATCAAGCCTCTCATAGTCCCGTTTTTCTTCGTGAACTACACAGAGGACGAGGACGAGGCCAACGTGAAGTTGCAGCCCATGCAAGCAGAAAAGTCTTCCTCCATCAAGATCCCCGTCTTCAAAAGCACCAAGAAGATTGCTGCCGGGGAGGTCGTTTTGTGCTATAAGGCCAAGGACCTTAAAGCTCCACCCCTCCACCTCTCCCCCAGTGCGGCGAAGCGATCGTCGTCCGGCGGAGTGGCAGTTGCAGCGAAGAAGAAAGCGAAGAAGTGAGAGGCATGTGATTTCTATATATGCATCATGTGCACATGTGGATGCCAGCGGTTTTGCTTTCGCTTGGCATTGGAACGAAGGCCCACCCGGGCACAGCCTCATATGGCAACCTGACAGCATGATCAGGCGCTTTTCAGGCTGCAGGGTGGCACGATCGGCATAAGCAGAGGTCCAGCTGCATTGGTTCACAGAAATTGCGGTGCTTGAGCATGTTTGTTTTCTCTTGACAGTTGCATGCAAGCCTTGATTCAGTGCAGCATCGAATGCATTGTTGCAGCAGTGCATGCAGGTTTTGCACTTGAGTTGTGCTGGAGCCGCCTCAGCAGGGCAACTTTGCTCGCTTGGCAGGCTTTGCATCTCAAGGACAGACACAGTGAGAAGCTGTTGAGTCGCCATGGCAGAGGATCCAACTTTCGAAGTGGAGACTCGCAAGATCATCTTTTTCGGCAAGCATGAGTGGTGCCCCACTCAGAAAATAGTCGAGGAGCGGACCTTTTTCTCCTTCACGAAGTGGTCTGCACAGCTGACTCGCATGATGACCGGCAAGCGACTTCAGCTTGGGGGTGGGCGGGCTGCAGAAAGTGGTTCCTTGAACGTGCCAGTGATCGGCAAGATCTTGGAAGCCCGGCAGTCGGCCTGCGACAAAGCCCTTGAGGAAGCTCTGAAAGTCGAGGATGGGTCGGGCGACGAGGATGAGAAGCCGAAGAAGAAAGCCAAGAAAACCATTCGAAGGTCATCGGCCAAGGACCTCCACCTCCTTCCTGAAATAGTGGACGTTTCGGTGGCTGAATTCCAGATGTCCTTGCTTTCGGAGGGGCTGTCGACTGGAACGATCTGGATGGAGCTCCGTCCCGAAAACCTCTCCTGGCTCAAGTCTTGTGTCGACAAGGAAGAGGCAAAGCCTCGTCAGAAGAAGGGGGAGGCCAAGCCAAAGCAGTGATGCCATCATGCTGTCCGGGAGGTTCAGAGAACCTTATACATGTGGCAAGTTTTGTGCAATCTGCCATGTTTCAAAAACCCTTTTGCATGCACTACATTTGTGCTTGCAGTGTACAATGATGACGATGAAAAGTTCATGGGCAGGGTGGGTTCTGAAACCTGCTGGCGAGCTTGCAGCCCTGCCTGCGGTGCGACACACGAGCTTGCAAGTCAGTCTCTGTGTGTGTCCGTGTGTGTGTGTGTGCAGTGTGTGTGTGTGTGTGTGTGTCTGTGTGTGTGTTTCTGTGTCTCTGCAGCATGCAGTGGCAGGTTGCCTTTCCGTTTGCAAGGTCATGCACTGCACATGTGCGGTTTTTTTCTTGAGCTGTGATCATCAGCTGCTTTTCAGCTCAAGTTGTTTGCCTCCCACGGGAGGCTGGGTCCTGTTTTGCCATGCTGGCTTTCGGCTTTTTGGATGGCCACCTGCCAACGGCGGAGGAGGCCATGGAAAGAGGGATGCACGAGCTCTTTTTGTTTCTGTGCTTGCAATGAAGGCGGAGAGCTTCGAAGCCTGCGGCCTCATGGAGCCGTTCACGAACAAGGCCAAGGGCAAGTGGTACAACGACAAAGGCGGGTTTGCCCAGCCTTTTGCAGAGATACGGAGTTAACAGACAAAACCATGCAGGAGCCGGGATCAGCTGGTCCGCCACCATGGGGTGGAAGGTCCTGGGTGCTGGAGGTGCCATGGGCTCTCACATGGGTTTCGGGGTTGCAGGGCTGAGGGATTCTTGCATGAACTGGCAGGAGAGATCTTGTGGACCCACCCGGAGAAGCAGCGGGAGGATGTGCCGACCAGTGGCTGGGTCTACTGGGACGGCACACCCGGTGCGATCTGTGTGGAAGGCACATCTTAAGATGACTATATAATAGTATATATATATATATATATAGATATGTGTCTTTACATGTATATATGTATAAATGTGTATATATACATATATATATATATATATATATGTATGCATATATATATACATATATATATATATATATATGTATATATACATGTATATGTATATATGTATATATATATATATATATATACATATAATATGTATACCATATCATAAATCACTCTATACAATAACTGCAAATAGAATCTATATAGATCGACACTATAGATGAATATAAACCCTAAACCGAAACCCATATAAACCAAAACCCTTATATAAACCCCTGAAAAAAACCCTAAACCCAATATCAACCCTAAACCTATACATACCTCTGGGCAGGCCACGAGGACTCCCCAGTCTACGACATGGTGGAGGTGGATGATGAGGAGGAGGGGGATGCAGGCCGTGCAGGGTTTTCGCCTCCTGCCCTCCTTGCATATGTGTTTTGCATGGCATGTGAAGGCGGGAAAGCCGCCGTGGTGCTCAAGCCCACCCCGAAGATCAAGGCCTGCAAGCGAGGTTCTGGAGTTTCTTATTGGTATAAAAATATGTGCCATCTAAATCTCCTTGGGCAGGACAACAAGAAGCGGCCCATGGAGCCGAAGGATCCGCCGCCAAAGAGGACGAAGGCTGGAACTATATAATGATTAAAAGGTTTGGCTTGAGTTTGAAAGTACATCCTGTCTATACATATATAGATAGGATGACATTGGATCTTAGATTAAATTAGATTAGGTTGCTTGGGTGAAATTAAATGAGTATATACATTAGGTTATATAAAGATTATACATAAGTATAGGTATGTAGCAGCTTACCAAGCTTTTAGGTTAAGTTAGATATAGTTTGGATTAGAGTATATAAGATATAGATGAAAAAATACACAGGTGTTTGTATACATCCTGTGTACATATATATTTAATATACATATATATATATATATATATATATATATATAAATATATTGTAGATATCTAGAAAGGATCGCAGGCAGGGCTTCTAGCTCGCCGGCAGGCTTCCTATATAAATCTTAAATATCATAAAAGCCCTGTATAGAAACCCCCGACGGCTGGAATGCCTTCGTGTGCGGTAATTTGTGTCACTTCATTACAGGAACAAAATGTTGAGCATAGGTGCACTTTGGCATGTCCGGGCGGGCGATAGGGGGCACAGCTCAAAAGCTGGCGCTTTCTTATTGGATAGGAATACTTTGATAAGATGTTGGGTTTCTGGATAGATATATAGGTGGGGAGCCTGCCAGCATGCTCTGTCTCTGACATGATTATACAGTGTCTGAGAGAACACTGTACTGTCAGGGGCACGGCAAGATCGCCCACGAGGAGGCTCGGGCCCAATTCTTCAGCAAGCCCGTCCCAACAAATAAAAGTGATTCTGCAGCAGGACGACCAGGATGGATGGAGCCAGGCCGGCATTTCTTCTTGGCTTGGAAGCATGCAGGGTTCTGTGTGCCACGGCAGGACGGCAAGTGGAAAGGAGGCGGAAGCTCCAGTGCAGCAGGTGCACCGAAACCGATTCATTGTGAAACCCCTGCCCTTGCAAGCCTTCTTTGTTCATTTGGACAGGATGGAAGAAGCCCGTGCCGACCAAGGGCAGAGGCAGGTGTTTGGGGAGTCGAGGTCAGCCGGCTTTTATATTCTGCCGACAACAGGCAGCTTCGAGCGGCCTTCCTCGAAGGGCGGCCACTACGTGATGGCCCACTACGTGGACGAAAGCGGCAAGGCCGGAAGCATTGCCACTGCAGTGGGCCGGATCGTTCGTTCCAGCCTGGCAGGCTTGCCCGCCAGGGGCAGGGCGGACCCGTGGCCGGACACGTGGTGGAGCCGCGGTCCGCTTGATCGAGGCTCGCCAGCAGGCGAAGGACAGCACCCAGCACTTGGAGGACACCCTTCTATAATCCCAACAAAGCATCGCCAACAACCCACCCCCCCACAAAATAAAGCATTTTGCCAGGACCTGCGAACCTCGGTCTCGACGATGCACCTCATGGCGAAAAGCATGGAGAGGTTGCAGAAGGAGTGCCGCCGTAGAGCACCATGGTTGTTTCTGGGTATTCCTCTGACAAGCCTGCTTCAGGACCGCCAGGGGTGACAGCCCGGACGGTTCCGTCCTTGGCTGTGCCCGTGGGTTCGGTGCGGTTTTCCTGTCTGGCGGTCCCAGGTGCTGGGACAGCATCGACTGTGGTGGCTGTGCACAGAGGCTTCTGCCTTGGCTGACGAGTGTGGTGCAGTTGCAGTGGTTGTGTTGGTTGCTGGCCGTGGTTATCCTGACTCGATGCAGGTGCCGCCACAGCTTCCCGGAGCTCTGAAATTGGGGGCAACAGGTCCAATGGCATCCCTTCGGGTAGTTGGCCAGGTTTATGCATGAATAAACCTTCGGAGCTAAAAAGTAGCTAAGGTTTATCCATAAATAAATTTTGGGGGCTTTAAGGCTTTACTTCTATACCAGAAATATTCGCGGATAAACTTTTCTAGCTTCGAGGCTGCCGGGGTTTATTCATGCATAAACCTGGTGGTTTCTGCCACGTGGCTTGGCTGCTCTGCATTGATGCAACATAACACACTGGCCTTGTGATCTAGCTTCTGCTGAAGACACTTGTGTTGCTGCAGCCGGAATGCATAGACGTGTCCGACCTCCCAACTGCAGGGGCCAGGCTATCGTGCTAGGGTAACACACGAAGCTCTTAGGCACCTTCTGGGCTGCTGCATATACAGTCATACACAAGCTGTTAGGCACCTTCTGGGCTCCTGCATATACAGTCATACACATAGCCGTGCCCGGCCTCTGCAACTTGTTGCTTTCTGCAGCTGATGCTGCTGCCGACCAACCACACAAGTGATCGGGTGCCCTGGGCACGAAAACAAGTCCTGTGCGGATAGACTTCCGGTGCAGTGTGTCGGTGTGTCTGTGTGTGTGTGTGTGTGTGTGTGTGTGTGTCTGTGTTTGTCTCTCTGTCTCTGTGGTCTGTCAGCAGAATATACTATTATATATTATACTACATGACAATGCTATACTCCTATAGTATAGTCTACAGAATATATTCTACATTGTATACTATAATGCACTATACTGTATATACTACTATACCACGATATTATATATTACTATATAATGTATTACGACCCTGGTATATTATCTATTCTTTTATATTACATACATCAACAACAGCGACAACAGCAACAACAGGACCACCGAGACAACCACCAGGCACCAACAACAAGAAAGCACCACAGCCACAGCAACAACAGCAGTCAGAACAACCACGGAAGCAATAACACAACCGTGTGTTTCAGCCTCCCACGTGCACTGGCTCTGCACCTGTGCTTCTGCCTGCTGGCGAGCTGACAGCCCTGCCTGCGACTTTGGAGGCTCCAGTGCAAGGATGACGAAAGCCCACAACAAAATAGGTAGAACATCCGAGAGCTTTGGCTCTGCTGCACGGAAATCAGTCTGTGGATGCCAGATAGTTACGATGTTCTTCGCCACTAGCTGGTTGCGAAAACTGCAGACCGAGAATCTGCAGACGTGGAGCCTGGAAACCGAAGATCGGGAACGTGTGCTGGAGTGGCTCGTGCTAGGCATTGTTGGAAGCCCCATCTACAAAGACGAAGGTGTCTGGATGTCCATCATGGCCGTGGACTCGTGCCACGATGCTGTGCTGGTCCGTGACCACGAGAGCTCCTGTTACATAGCAGTGCAGCTCCAGAGACTTTTTGCTGGTTCACTAGGAACAATGGATTGACTTGTGCTGCGATTCAAAGAAAGCCGTCTGTGCATCATGGCATTTCATGAGTGATTTCTGCTGTGCACTGTAGACTGTCATGCATTAATAGGTCGCAGCAAGCATGGTCAGCTTATCAGTTGTGTCTCGCTTGCAGGGCATTTTGCTCGCAAGCAGAGCACACAACTTCGAAGCCGCACCTTTTATCGTAATCATGGCCGTGGTCGCTCGTCCGGACGTACAACAACTGGAAGCGGCATGGAGCGAGCCCAATCAGCTTGTGCCGGGGAACGAGAAGTTCGAGCCTTTGGGATTGCTGAAATGCTATCGTGTATATGTAGGACACGATTATTTTCCGCATCAGGGATATGCTTGTTACTTGTCGAGGGAGCTGGGCCAGGGAGCTCGCCTTTGGAGATGCGAGCGAGGTGGCCTCCTCAAGTGGATGGTCACTCGGCCTGCTGAGGTCCGGGCCGTGGCAGTGTCCTTGACCGGCCGGCTGAGGTTTGGGATTCTGGTTGTCCAGGCCCGGATGCTCTCCGGAGCACAAGTCTGGTCCGGCACGTACCCGGCCGAGCAAGACGTGAAAGTGTCGGCTGTGAGCACCGCCATCCGGCACAGCATGCTGGTGGCTGGTCGCATCCAGTCGACACACGTGTTGAAGGTCATGGGCCACAAGCTCCTTGTCCACGGCCGCAAGATTTGGAGCTGCAACTGGTCCAAGACCATGGCAGCCAAGAAGCTGCCCAAGAAACGGCTTTTTCGAAAGACGGATCCGAGGTTTCTCCGTCTGGCCCAGTCCGTGCCACTGTTTTGATTCTTGAATGAGGAGAGGAAAGATCGAGTGCTCAGTGTGCAGGTTGTGTCACTACATACATGTATATGCATGGTTGTCGTGCAAGAAATGCATGCAGGAATCCTGAGTTGTTCGCAGGCAGGGCTTTCCTAGCTCGCCACAGCAGGACAACTTTTCAGGGATTCCTGCTTTCCTCTCGCCATGGCAGCCGCCTTCTTGAACCAGCTCCATGACATGCTCCACAAGCAGAAGCCGATCATGGGCGATCACTTCGACGGCATGCTTGCTGCACAGAAAGACTGTGCCGTGCGAGCCATCTCCCAACACAAAGTGACCATGCAAGAGGCCTCTGAGCTGTGCAGCTTGATCCAGCAAGGGCCCTGGAACGAGAGCCAGAAAAAGGAGCTTGGAAAAGCAGTCTCCAACTCC